TGGCAAGTCCCTTGACCCATGGAAGCCTCGGTTGCCACATCCATTAAGTGGGGAGAGTGATGGGTCCTACCTTCCAGGGTTTTGTGAGGATCATATGAGATTGGCACATAATTAATTGGTGCTTGAGGACAGCAGCTTTAACAGGGAGGGTGGCCTGCGTTTCAGCCGTGGTGGTGGCCCCAGAGGAGAAACGTCCTGCCCCCTTGGTGTCCTCTGACAGGATCAGACGTCTGGACACCCATGGAGAAGAGGCTCTTTAAGAAGGCGTTCTGTACCCACAAGAAGGACTTTTATCTGATACACAAGACGGTAAGGCAGCCGCTCGCCCGTGGAGACCTGGCCTGGCCTCGCACCTCTGGGCCACCCTCGCCCTGCTCCTGTAAGAGACCGTTTGTGGCCTCAGAAGTGCTGTGTGGTGAACGGTGCCAGGTGGTTTGGAAACACCCTGCATGCTCAAATGAAGGCCTCGCCCCTCCCCGCAGTCCTGCTGACGGCCTCTGTTACTGCTAGCTAAGTTTTCAGGCATTTCTCTATCTTCTCGTGTTTTCCACACATAAGTGCACGTGCTTTGAAAAGGATACACTCGTTACACTCAATGTGTCACGCTGCTTTTCTCCTTCTGTTTCCCTTTGCTATAGGGTGCACTTTCCAAAAAGAGACAGAAGTAAAGCAAGAAATCACCCCCCCCCCGGGGGGATGTCACGTAACAATGCCTCCTCCATTCTCCTCTTGGAATTTTAGGCACATACATGTGCCCAGAGTGATTTTCAAACCGCTGATCTAGGACTTGAGCTACGGAATTGGCCATATGGGATCCAACTGCCTTAACCTCCACACCACCTGCTGGCCTTTCTATTTTTACATTTTATTATTTAAAATTTTTCTTTATTTACCATTATTATTTTTTAATTTGCTATAGGTCAAGTGTGCTCACTTGAGAGAAAAAGAGAGGGAAAGTGAGAAAGCAAGCTGCCAGGTCCAGGACTTGAACCACGGTCAACCATACGGGAGTCCAGAACCCCAACCACCACATCACCTGCCAGCCATAGGCCCTTCTCTTTTTTAAAACTTGACTTACACAAAACTGCACGTCACTGAACTGTGAAGTTTGATAAGTGTTGGCGTAGTATACACCTTTAAACCAGCAGCCCAGCCAAGATTATGAACGCACCTATCACTTCCAGAAGTGTCCTCCGGCCTTGAGGAACCCGTCCCCCCACCACTTTCTGTTGCCACTCCACCCCTCATCTGCTGTCCATCACTGCCGTCTGTCTGCTCCTCTAGAATTCCATGTGAATGGAATAGTCATGTGCTTGTGCCCTGCTCCGTCTAGCTCCGTCCACCCGCACAGTTATTTTGAGGTTCGTCCATGTTGTATGTGTTCGTAGCTCACCCTTCCCACCACGAAACAGTCATCCATTGTACAGACTTACCATGGTCTGTAACTGTTCACCTGTGACGGACGCTGGGGAGGTTTCTAGCTGTGGGCAATTACAAATAGAACCATTGTGAGCTTTCACGCGCAGGTCTTTGTAGGGATTTGTCCTTTCTTTTCTGGAAGGGCTCGAACACCTGGTAGGTGTATACTGAACTTTTAAAGGAGCTGCCGAGCTGTGTTCCAAAGCAGTCATTTCACTGCACATTCCCACCGGCGGGAGCGCGGCCTCCAGCTGCTCTGCAACCTTGCCAGCACTTGATGTGGTCGGTCTTTCTGATTTCAGTCCTCTGTGAGTGCGTAGCAGTGTCTCGTGTTTCTCCCGTGACTCCCATGACCATGCGCCGCGTCTTCGCACTCACCGGTCCGCCATCCGTGTGCCTGTCTTGGTGAGGCAGCGTCTGTTCCCATCTTTTGCGTATGTTTTTATTGGGGTGTTTGGGTTTTTAGTATTGAATTGTAGGTGTGTTCTGAACACAAGTCTTTTATTCAGACACGTGCTTTGTAAATATCAATAGTTTCTCCCAGTCTGGCTTTTTAGTCTCTTGGCAATGTTGTTTGAAAAAACTCATTTTGGTGGAAGTCAGTGTATCAATTTTTCTATTATGGACTGTGCTTCTTTCTGGTGGTGTAGCCAAGAGCCCTTTGCCTTATCCAGCCATAAAGATTTTCCCATTTCTCCTAGGATTTTTACAGTTTCAGGTGGTGCAGTTAGGTTTATGGTTCACTTTGAGCTCCTTTTCGTATGTGGTGCAAGATACGAATTGAAGTTCATTCCCATGGAGGTAGTCATTGTTCTGGCACCTTTTGTTGAGAAGAACATCTTTTCTGACCTCCGAATTGCTGGCACACCTCTGTCGAACACCAGTGTCTATTTTGGACTCTCCATTGTGTCCCATTGTCTGTCTCTTATGGAGCTAATTCACGCTCTTTCTGTAGCTTTCTGTGTCCTGAAATAAGCTGTTAGTCCTCGAGCTTCGGTAGTCTTTTTCAAAAATCATTTTTGCTATTCTAGGTCCTTTGCATTACCATATGAATGATTGGATTAGCTTATCAACTTCTACAAATAGAAGCCTGCTAGGATTTGATTGGCCAGTTGAGAATTGACATGGTGACAATATTGAGCGTCTGACTCAGGAGCAACCTAGTTCCCTATTTAGGTTATCCTTACGTTTTCTCGGCAGCGTTTGAAGGTTTCAGCGTGTGTTTCACATCTCTTGTTGGATCTATCTCTAAATATTGGGCTGTTCAAAAAGTTATGATGTATTTTTTCTACATTTTTCTATGCAAAAATGTGTCATGACTTTTCCAACCACCCAATAGTTCCAGTTTTTCTGGTGCTATTATTAATGGTACTTCTTAAAAGTTTTCATCTCTGGGCCAGCAGGTGGCATGGAGGTTATGGCAGTTGTATCCCACATGGCCTACTGTGTGGTTTGAGTCCCAGACCCGGTGTGGTTTGAGAACACACTGCGCAGGCATGTGTGCGTGCCCAGAGCCCCAAGAGAAGAGTGAAGGAAAAGGGATTGCAGTGTGGCCGTCCCCCTTGGGAGTGGTGTCTTTTATTTTTCTCTCTCTGGCAAGTGCATGCAGCCTATGGCAAATTAAAAAATAATTAATAAATGGGAACAGCAGTTGGCGTAATGGCTATGTTGCTGGACTTCCATGTAGTCAACTGTGGTTCAAGTCCCGGACCCGGTGGCTTAAACTCATGCCAGGCACGTGTGCGTGCCTGCCCAAGATCCCGAGAGGAGAATGGAGAAGAAGGGATTGTGGTGTGGCCATCCCCCCTGGGGGGTGATTTCTCGCTTTCTGTCTCTCTGTCTCTCTCTGTCTTTCTGGCGAGTGCATGTGCCCTATAGCAAAAAACTCTCCAAAAATTAATAATGAATAAATAAATAAATAAATAATTCGTGGTGGTTGTCGCTCGTGTATAAAAATGAAAATTATTTTTTTATGTTGATCTTATGTTCTGCAGTGGTGCTAAACCATTGGTAGCTTTTTTGCAGATTCCATTAGATTTTTTCTATGTTATATATTCAGGTTATCAATTTTTTTTTTTTTTTTCCTGAAGAGAAAGTAAGAAAGCATCTGCTAGAGAGATGACCACACCACAATCCCTTCTCCTCCATTGTCCTCTGGGAACTTGGGCACACATGCACACGTGCCTGGCACATTTTTCAAGTCACTGGGTCCAGGACTCAAACCATGCAGTGAGCCATGTGGATCCAGCCACTGCAACCACACCACTGCTCAATATCTTTTTTTTTTTTTTCAGATGTTTACTTTGATTTTTTTCTTTCTTTCCTTTCTTTTTCCCTTCTTTCCTTCCTTCCTTTCTTCCTTCCTTCCTTTGCCAAACAGCATGTTTATGTGCCAGAGAGAGAGGGAGAAAACAAACCCCCAGAGGGCACGCGCATAGCACAGTCCTCTTGCATTTCTCCCTCCTTCTGAGAGTTTGGGCACACATGCTTGGCATGGTCTTTCTTTCTTTTTTAAAGAATTATTTAACTTTATTTATTTATTTATTTTAATTTGACCAGAGAGGGACAGAGTAAGAGTGAGAATGAGAGAGAGAGAGAGAGTGAGCGAGAACAAGCCACCAGGTCCGGGACTTGAACCACAGTCGGCCATGTGGGAGTCCAGAGCCCTTAACCACCATGCCACCCGCAGGCCCCACTGGCATGATTTTTCAGGCTGCTGGGTCCAGGACTTGAACCACGTGGTCAGCCATGTGAGATCCAGCTCCTTTAAACCATCAAGCCACAGGTTAGCCCCAATCTTCTTTTTCTTTACACTTTTTAAAACTTGATTTCTCCCATGAATGAGAGAGATGGACAGAGACAGCATCTTCAACAGGGGCCGATGCTGTGATCCACTCCCAAGCTTAGCCAGCCCTGGATCACTGACATGCCTGCCCAGTGTACGCGGGGAGGGCTTGGGACGTGAACCGAGAACCTTCCCATGTGGGTCAGCCTTGCTGAGAATTGCTTTTTGCTGCTGCACTACTCTCTGGCCTCAAATTTATCAATGTCTTCTTTAAGGGTCCCTACAGTACTTTGCGGCTTGCCTGGAGGGCGTGCTCTCTGCAAAGCTTGTCCCCTCCCATGCTCTGTCCTGGGGGCTCCGGCCACCTTGGGCTCCTGAGATACTGCCCTCCCTTGCCCTCGGGAGGTTAGCGGGACTCTGTCTGGGACCCCCTCTAGAACGGTGGCCTGGCAGGTGGTCAGCTGGGACAGTGGCAGTCTCCTCCTGTTGCTTGCAGTTCACAGTCCTTTGTGGACAATGCCTGATGTCCTGCCAATCCTCGTTTATGCATTTTTCCTGTTTCTTTTCCTTGTTTTGGGAGGGAGGATAAACCTGCTTCCTGTTGCTCCGTCTTGTTCAGAAGAAGTCCAGGTTCTCCTTTAACTTAGAGGCTTTCTTAGCCAGAGGATGTGCCCCTCGGACTCCTGGTTTGTGAATATACACAAAGCTGAGAAGACTTTGTGTGATGCATTTTCTTAAATAAACTCCTCAGCCAATTTAATTTCCGGAGACATTTTCTTTCTAGAGCAGCTAAACTTTTCCATGGTGCTTTAATAGAAGTTGTTTTTAACAGGCTCCCTTCTTCATGGAGGGAAGAGTGATGGCAGGGTCTGAATGCCGTAGGTTTAAACTGTGTGCTCCAGGGCCAGCTGGTGACATAGTGGTTAAGGTGCTGGACTCCCACACAGCCGACTGTAGTTTGAGTCCCAGACCTAGCAGCTTGAAACTCACATGGGCATGTGTGCTTACATGCCCAAAGTCCTAAGAGAAGAAGGGAGGAGAAGGGATTGCAGTGTGGCCATACCCCTTCTGGGGTGATTTCTCACTTTCCTTCTCACTGTCTCTCTGGTGAGTGCATGTACCCAATGGCAAAAACCTAAAAATAAATAAATAAATAAATAAATAAATAAAGTGTGTGCTCCAAGCCTTCCCTCTTCCAAGCAGGGTTACCTTTCCTGCCAGGGCTTTAAAAGTACAGCCCTAATTGTTGTTGTTTTTTGGAGAGATTTTTGCTATAGGGCGCGTCTGCTCACTAGAAAGACAGAGACAGAGAGACAGAAAGTGAGAAATCACCCCCCAGGAGGGATGGCCATGCCACAATTCCTTCTCCTCCATTCTCCTCTCAGGATCTTGGGCACGCACGCACATGCACCTGGCATGAGTTTAAGCCACCAGCTCCAGGACTCAAACCTCAGTTGACTACACGGGAGTCCAGCGACATAGTCATTATTCCATATGCTGGTCCCTTTTTAAAAATTATTATTATTTTTTTAATGTTTGTTTATTTCTTTTATCACACACACGCACACATACACACGTGCATGCACACACACAAGCGCCCTCAGCAGGACCTCACCCCGACCCCCAGCCTTCCCGGACTGTAGACACACATGCCAACTGTACGGGTTGACCAGGGACAAAGTGACTGCCCTGATGTCGGGATCCAGCCTTGCCTGAGCAGCGTAGCACCATGGCATTGCCACGCCAGCTGACTAGTTGCGATGGCCGCGTGGTAGCCTGCCACCTGAGAGCATTTGGTTTCGGCCAGTCCTGGGTGGCACACATATGGCTGTTAGCACGATGTAGCAGCGAGCATGCCCACACGCGAGCCTTTGTGTGTCACTTCCTCTAGGAAGAACTCCTGGGCTGGAGCCATGGCGACCCCCCCGGGGGCACTTGGCAGCCCTCTTCCTGATGGCAAAGGGGCAGGCCAAGCCAAGGGGCAGAGGTGCTCCAGAAGGCTGTCACAGTGCGGCAGCCCAGCAGGGAGGGCGACACGCAGGCCCCGGGCGCCACCACAGCCTGCTCTGTTCTCTTCCCCTAGATCCAGACGAAGACCGTAGCCCAGTGCGTTGAGTATTACTACATCTGGAAAAAAATGATCAAGTTTGACTGCGGCCGAGCCCCAGGGCTAGAAAAGAGGGTTAAGAGAGAGCCAGATGAGGTAGAGAGGACAGAAGAAAAGGTAGAAGACCTGCGGGGGGCCTGAGCTGGAAGGCTGGGGAGGCACTCCCCGGGAAGGGTGTCCCCGCAGAGGACGTGTGTCCTGTGAGCCGGGCCACCCTCGGGGGGAGGTCAGTACCCTCATGTTGTTTTGCCCCTCTGCAGATCCCTTGCAGCCCTCGAGAGAGACCCAGCCACCGTCCAACTCCCGAGCTAAAGATAAAGACCAAGAGTTACAGGAGGGAGTCCATTCTCAACTCCAGCCCCAGTGCAGGCCCCAAGCGGACCCCAGAGGCGCCAGGGAGTGTGGAGAGTCAGGGCGTGTTCCCCTGCAGAGAGTGTGAGAGGTACCCTCACCCGGAGGCGCTCACACGTGCTCACACACACACATACGCGTGCACATACTCGTCTCCCTCCTCTGACCCATGTCCTCTGGCCGCTCCTTAGGGTGTTTGACAAGATCAAGAGTCGAAACGCCCACATGAAGCGGCACCGCCTTCAGGACCACGTGGAGCCTCTGGTCAGGGTGAAGTGGTCCGTGAAGCCCTTCCAGATTAAGGAGGAGGACGAGGAGGAGGAGGAGCTGGGCGCAGACATCAGCCCCCTGCAGTGGTGATTCTCGGTGGCAGCAAGTCTGGGCAGGGCCTCCAGCCCTGTCACACTTCCCTTCATCCTCTCTAGGGTGTTGCGACACCCCCCCTCCCTCCGCCCTCCCCGGCCAGCCCTCTAGCCATCTTGGCAGGTGTTTGGCCAGAGACAGCAGGAGAAGCGGTCATTGGACAGCCCAGTCCCTGGCGTGTGGTCCGGAGGCCTGCTCTCCTTAGGTTAATAGTCTCTCCCCTCTTTCCATTCCACTTCCAGAGCGGGGAGGCCTGGGGAGGGGAAGCTAGTCCGGGCAGCCCTTCAGTCTTAGCCTCAGGCATGGGGTCTGGTTACTTTTGTTACAAGGCTGAGACGCAGAGAATCAGTGGGAAAAGACCTTGGTCTCCTACATGTTGGGGCTCCTCCTGGGCTGAGGGTCTCTGCATCTGGATTCAATCCCTGCTCTTAGGATGACTTGTACATGGTTAGTTTTTCTTTTTTTTTTTGTACGTGTCTACTTGTAAATCTTATTAAATTGGGTTCTTGAGCAGCTGACTGACTGCCCAGCCTGTTGACCCAGCAAAGGCTTTCAAGCCCCAGCTACTCACGAGGGCCATGAAGATGAACACGCCGGGGGGAACCAGAAGTTAGCGTAATGGCTATGTCACTGGACTCCCACGTAGCCGACTGTGGTTCGTGTCCCGGACCTGGTGGCTTAAAAACTCACGCCGGCCGCGTGTGCGTGCGTGCCCAAGATCCCGAGAGGAGAATGGAGGAGAAGGGATTGCGGTGTGACCATCCCCCCTGGGGGGTGATTTCTCGCTTTCTGTCTCTATGTCTCTCTCTGTCTGTCTGGCGAGCGCATGCGCCCTACAGTGAAAATCTCTCCAAAAAAAGAAAAAAAAGATGAACACGCCGGGTGCCTGGGGCAGAAGGTGGGTGCGTTCACTCAGCAAGCATGTATTAAGTGCATGCTGTAGCACTTGCCCGACGTCGCCTGATTCCTGCCACCAGGACACAGTGAAGCCAGAGAGACGAGCCTGCTCTCGTGGAGCTTCCACTGCAGCAGCAGGAAGGTGGCAGTGACAGGCCAGCGAGGCAGCCACAGGTTGCCATTGCAGTATGTTTTGGCCACAAGTAACAGAAGACTCAGTGTATGTTTAACCAGTCAGGGTGATTGGTGGTTCCAGTGGCTTTACCATGAAACCAAAGGCCCTGGTGGCGGGCAGCACCAATACGCAGGGGACAGTAGAGGCAAGAAGAGTGGTCTCTACCAACTTCCTCCTCTCCCCTGCCTTTTTTTTTTTTTTTTTTAAGGCATGTGTGCTCGCCAGAAAGACAGAGACAGAGAGACAGAAAGTGAGAAATCACTCCCTGGGGGGATGGCCATGCCACAATCCCTTCTCCATTCTCCTCTTGGGATTTTTGGGCACGCACACACACATGCCCAGCGTGAGTTTTAAGCCACTGGGTCTAAGACTCAAACTATGGTTGGCTGCATGGGAGTCCAGCGACATATCCAGTAGGCCATGGTTATGGCTGGTCCCGTCCCCCTGCCTTTTTTTAATTGCAGAGGTCATGGATGACAGAGAGAAAGCACTCTTGGTGGGAGGTGGCCACACTTCCACTCTTCCATTCCTCCATTGGTTGGGAGTTTGGACACTCACACACACATGCCCTGTGTGGTTATCAAGCTGCCTGGGCTGGGATTTGAGCAGCAGGGGCCATGTGGAATCTGGCTTTCTTAGCTGCTAGGACATAGGGCCAGTGCCTGTGTCCCTGTAGAAGGGCGAGGAGGACTTGCACTGCCTGCAGCAGACCGCACCTTGGTCTCGCCAGCCAGGGTGGTAGCCGGTGCTGGCTGCCACGTTGACCCGGCTAGTGGGAGGGTGTGTCCGGTTATCCTGGACCACTCAAGGTTCACCTTGATCTTCCAGGGCAGGCAGAAAAAGGCGTTCCTGCAGGTTCATTGCCACCTGAGCAAAATGAGTTCCGTTAGGAAAAGAGAAAACAGAAATGGCTACTGTTCATAGGCAGGCGGACTGTTGTGTCAGCCAGAGTGACACAAAGAACGTCAAATGGGGCCAGTCCTAGGGAGTGGCCAGGGTGGGGGTAGGTGGATGGCCAGGGAAGGCCAAGGCCTCCAACCCAGTCCGGGGAGTGGTAGGGGGCCAGCTCTGCCATGGGAAGTAGCGGGAGTGCTGAGTAAGACAGTGACATCTAAGGGGACATTTTCTTTTAAATTTCCAAAGGGCACATGTCTTTGGGGGAAGAGGAGGGAAGAAGGTGAGAAAGTGCCGCCTGTAAGGGAAGGTCATGTGTAATCTCTTCCCAGTTTCTCCGTCATGTGGGAATTTGGGCGCACACGCATATGCACCCTGCACTCCTCGCTCTCCACTGGCTGCCACGTGGAGGCTGTAGAGAAGCCACTCCTCCCATGGGGGGAGGGGAAGGGATGGCCACACCGCAATCCCTCCTCCATTCTCCCCCTGGGATCTTGGGCACACACGCATCTGGGCCTGGCATGAGTTTTAAGCCATCCTGTCTGGGACTTGAACCGCAGTAGGCCATGTGGGAGCCCAGTGGTGTAACCACCATGCCATCTGCTGGCTCCTATCCTGAAGTTTAACAGCTTAAAAGGAATGGAAGATTTTGTTTGTTTGATTGTTTTTAACTTTGTTTTATCTATTTATTTTAATTTGCCCAGAGAAGGACAGAGTGAGAGGGAAAGTGAGAAAGCAAGCTGCCAGGTCCGAGACTGGAGCCGTGGTCAGCCATGTCAGAGTCCAGCGCTCCTCCACGCCTCCTGCCAGCCCCCAAGGCGAAGCTTTTATAAGTGCTTGACAGATGCAGAACTGAAACTGCTCATGGTAACCCAGACCCCCCCACACACTGATCTGTAGTCACAAAACTGTGGCAGCCACAGAAGGTGGTCCTGGAAAGTCTCTCTCACGTAAGAGGAGGCGTGGAGGAAGGTTTCTCATGCCTTACCTGCTCAGCCAGTCCCCACCAGATAACCGCATTTTCTCAAACGGTGGTCTCCAGATCTTCTGCATCCAGATCATCATGAGACTCTGTTTTTTATTTTATTTTTTAGAAAAATCATTATTTCATTTAACTTTATTATGTATTTATGACCAGGGAGGGAGAGAGAGAGAGAGAAAGTGAGAAAGCAAGCTGCCAGGTCCAGGACTTGAACCACAGTTGCCATGTGGGAGTCCAGTGTCCTTAACCACCATACCACCTGTTGGTCCCAGGCATTCTGTTTTTATTTTCTTTGTAAGAATTATTTTCTATTTAACTGTATTTGTTTATTTATCTACTTATTTTGACTAGAGAGGGACAGAGTAAAAGAGAGAGGGAAGGAAAGTGAGAAAGAGAGCTGCCAGGTCTAGGACTTGAACCAGGTCAGATGTGGGAGTCCAGCACCCTTAACCACCACGCCACCTGCCAGTCCCAGGGGTTCTGTTTTTCAAAATGCAGATTCTTGTGCCCTGCTACAGAATTTGAAGGTAGGGCCCTGGAACCTGATGGCATTTAAAGAAAACTGTAAGAATAGTTTTAGACTTACAGAAAAAGTGGGGAAATGGTATAAAAATTCCCATATACCCCAGTTTCCCCTATTATTTTATTTTTATTATTTTTTAATTTGCTGAAAAGCATGTGCACTTGTTGGAGAGAGAGAGAGAGACAGAGAAAGAGACTCTCAAGGGGCATGGTCATGTTACAATCCTTTCTCCATTTCTTCCTCCTCTTGGGATTTTGGGCATGCATGCAAATGCGCACATACACTGGCGCCTGATTTTTCTCTCAAGCCACCAGGCCTAGGATTCAAACGGTGCAGTTGGCCATGTGGGGACCAACTGTTGCAACTACCGGGCCATGGGCTGGCTCCTCAGTTTCCCCTATTAACATCTTAACATTTATGTGGTCATTTGTTACTATGAATGAACCAATGTCAACACGATATTAGTTAATACCCTACTTTTAGATTTACTTAGTTCTTTGTGTTTTTCTATAGGGTGCGTACTTGCTAGAGAGAGGGAAAGTGAGACATCACCCCCGGGGGAATGGCCATATCCCAGTCCCTTCTCCCTTCTCTCGTTCAGGATTTTGGGTGCGCATGCATGTGCATCTGGCATGATTTTCAAGCCACTGCACCTAGGACTTGAACTGAGCAGTTGGCCATGGAGGATCCAGTGTCTTCACCAAGCTGGCTGCTGGCCCAGATTTCCTTAGTTTTTACCTAATGTCCTGTCCAATATCCCACTAGGGTACCACATTACACTTTTTTTTTTTAAAGAATTATCCATCAACTTTGTTATTTTTAAAAATTTGCTATAGGGCACATGCACTCACCAGAGAGAGAGAGAACACGCGCGTGCACACGTGAGCAAGCAGGCCTCCAGATCTACAATTCAAACCATAGTCAACCTTGTGGGCGTCCAGAACCTAACTACTACACCACCTGCTGGCCCCACGGTATATTTCATAGTCATGTCGCCTTAGGCTCACATTGGCTGCAACAGTTTCTCAGACTTAATTTACCTCCATGTCTTAGTCTGTTTTCTGTTGCTATCACAAGACCGTAGGCTTGCTAACTTATAAAGAATAAATATATATTTGGCTCATGAGTCTGGAGGTCCAAGATGAGGCCCTTGGGAGGGCAGCATTCAGTCAGGACCTCCTTGCAAGTGAGGACTTTCTGCAGAATCCAGAGGTGGCACCAGGCATTGTGTGGTGAGAAGGCAAGAGAAGAGTGTGTGTCAGAGTATAAGAGAGCCACTTTTCTAACAACCCACTTGAGATAACTCACCATCCTATTAATCTACAAACAGAATGACCCATTCATGAGGGTTCTGCCCTCCTGAGGGAATCACATCTTATTTAGCCCCACCTCTTAATTCTGTTACAATGTAGTTAAACTTCAATGTGATTCCAGGGACATTCAGATTTTAAAAGATGACCGTGTTGGGAGTTAGCCAGGTGGTGTGGTGGTTATAGTGGCTGCAGGGTAGCCATCCTCGCCATTTCTCGCTTTCTCTTTGTCTTTCTGATGAGCACACGTGCCTGATAGCAAAAATCTCTCTTTAAAAAATACACTGTTAAAGAGTACATTTTGGAGAATGTGCCTCGACTGGGATTTATCCAGTTTCTCTTATGATTAGACTGGGAAGAAGACTACAGACATAAAGTGCAGTTTAAATCACATGTTATTAAGGGGACATACTAATACCATGACTTCTTGTTGACATTAACTTCAGTCGCCTCACTGACCATGTCAGGATGTCAGCTTTCTCTACAGTAAACTTAGTGTCCATCCCATCCACCCCAGCCCTGCATATCATACCCTTGGAAGTCACTCTGCATGGTCCACACTACAGAAGAGGGGAGTTGTGTTCCGCCTTATTGAGGGCTGAGGATGTACATAAATTATTTAGAATCTTTCCATTTGTCTCACCCCTGTTTATTTGCTCGATATACATTTCTTCATTTATATCATCACAGGCTTGTGGGAACTATTTTATGCTTTGGGTTATAATCCAATACTACTTTATTTTACTCAAATTGTTCCAGCTTTGGCCATTGGGAGCTCTTTCATATATACACCTGCCATTTTATGTGTGTGTGTGTACGCGTCCACATGTGTATGCGCGTTTTTTCTGGCACTACAAGATGTTCCAGGCTCATATTACATCACTTCCTGTCTCCATCCTAGATGTGCTGGAAACTGATTTTTGGGTTGCTTTCCCATGAAACCAGAGTTTGAGAACCGTTGCTCTCAGTTTCATTTCTGGTCTTTTAAATACTGTTCCTCACTGGTCTTCTCAAGCCAGTTTCAGCATCGGTCGATAGAGGGCGCAAATAAAAAAAGAACAGCTCCTTTTTCACCACCTAGGTCCTTCCAAGTGAAAAATGACGCAAGACCTGGCGGCTAGGAGCTCGCGCCAGAGAACTGTCAAACCCGGACGTGGGCCGGGGCAGTCACGTGAGAGGCGTGTGTCAGCTGATCAGTCCCCAAGTTCCGGGGAGGGGCGGACTACAGCCAAGCGCTGGTGCTGATTGGTGGAGGAGGCTCCCGCGGTGAGCACTCGGGGCGGGTCCTTGGCGATGGGGTCTATGATTGCCTTATGGAGAGTCACGTGGGAGGGGTCAGGCCGAGCAGTAGGAAGAGAGCAGGGCGCGGGAACTGCGCATGCGCCGAGGTTTCAGGACGTGGATTGGAGGTGGCGGGTCACGGGGCGGACCGTGGCTCCTGGCGGGGGCGTGGCCAGCGGGGCAGGCGCCGCGCTCCGAGGCAACTGATTGGCCAGTGCGGACCTCGT